AATATCCAGTTAAAGATAGAGTTCATTAAGAGGAAAGAAGAGATGGGGGCAGAAAAGGGTTTTTAGATTCAAGAGATGAACAAGGCAAATGCAGAAGCTATGTAGTTGTGTTTATAAGGGGGAGAATAAAAAGAAGAATAGAAGTAAAAGAATTAACAGAAGAGTGAAAAAAAGTTTGGCTGTTAGTAAAAAAAAAAGAGAGAGAGAGAGAGAAACAGAAACAGAGGGAAATGGAGTTGTGAAACAAACAATAGAAAAATCAATCCAAAACAAAAACCCTAACCCTCAAAAAATAGAGCACAGAACAATTACTACCCTCAAAGAAATGCTAAAAGTGAAAAAGCAGAAACAGTGGCTGGGGCTGGGGCTCAGTGGTAGAGCGCTCACCTAACATGGGTTCGCTCCTCCACACCACATAAAAATAAATAAACAAAACAAAGGTATTGTGTCCATCTACAACTAAAAAATTTAAAGAAAAAGCAGAAACAAATATGTATGTATACAAATGTATAAACATCCATTATGAACCAATCAGTACACATTCAAAAACAAAACAAAAACAAAATAACAGAATAGTCAATGAGAGTATTTGCCAGCTGTCTGTGCTAAACTGCCTTTCCATTTCTCATCCTCCCTTCTCAGCAGAATGCTGTGAGGACCTATGGAAGATACTTTTAGCTTCACTTCTAGGATATTGTTACTGCTGGGTTCTGTGAGATGAGTTCCTGCAAGTGAAGCTCGCAGGGCAGAGCTTAGGTCTGGTATTGCCCCAGGTGTTTTACTGCATGGGTATTAATAAATCAATATCCCACTACTCTCCCCAGGCCACCACTCATGGGACGGGGGGAGTGGGGTCTTCCCCAGTTCTGGTCTTTGGAGATACTGTTCTTTTGGGCCTCTCCAGGACTGGTTTCCAAGCACTGAGCTCAGTCACTCGGACACATTCAAATTCTCCCTTCGGCTGGTTCTGCCCGCTGCCAGATTCAAGGGAGCCGGATGGAGGGCAGGTTTTCTCTGGCCTTTCTGATCTGTATTGCCGCCAGCCARAATGGTTTCCGTGCCAGAAATTCTGCATGCCAGAAATTCTCCTGATTTTCTAGGCTTAGTTTAGATCTTGCAGTTGGCATCTGCTTGATTCATGTATAGGACTCAGCCTCAAACTCATGAACCTAAGTTCCCAGTCTGAATTAGAACCACTGTCACAAGGTTGTACCAAAATATCTCTCGCTTGGGCTCCCTGTGCACAGGTGGCAGACCTAACTTTGGTGTACCAGTTTAATGAGCCGAATAGCCTCTGGGTCGGCCCACAGCAGGCTGCCCCTTCCATCCTAGGACTCCCCACACCAAGACTTTTCCAGCACTTTAGGATCATTTTCAAACTTGTGTATCAATTTTACTCACTTCCACCAAGAGCCTTAGCCTTATCTGATGTACCCAAAATGTCCTAGTCTTCGAGGCTCTCTGTCCAATATTGAGTATCAGTAGAGTGCTTTTTTTTTTTTTTCACTTACCTCACAGAGAAGTAGTTTTCTTACTGTTTGAGTACTAAGTCACGGAGTTGTGAGAAAAGCCACTTCCTGCTAATCTGCCATCTTCTCTCCCCACTCCCATTTTTTTTAGTTGTAGATGGCCATGATACCTTTATTTTTTTATTTATTTTTATGTGGAGATGAAAATCGAACCTAGTGTCTTGCACGTGCTAGGCAAGTGCTCTACCACTGAGCCACAACCCTACCCACTATAGATAAATCTAACAGCTCCTATCATGATGAGRGAGATATAGAAGGGCTTAGGCAATAAAGGCTAGATAGTGAGGAAGTCAGGGGCAGGGCCAGAACAAAGGAGCATGGAGAGGGTCTTCTGATGAGGTCAACCTCCTGCTTGACAAAAGTGCTCATGGACACAAGTCGAGTACCCAATCAGACAGACACTTCTGTACTCATGCTCCTAAGCGGGGGATCCAATAGAAAAACTAAGATATGTGGACAGAGGGGGCACTAATCAATAATAGTGAKAAGAGTATGGATGGGGAGGAGATAAGGAAAGGAGGAGATTCCAGAGACCATAAAAAGAACAGACCAAAACTCCCCCACCAAATTCCCAGCTCTGGGACCTCTTTTCTTTGGAGAAGTTTCTCTCTGTATCTCTGTCACCTTTGCAATAAACCTACTTCTTGCTTGCTATCTCTGTGTCCTGTTCTTCAAATTTCTTTTTTAAACAGAGACAATGAGCCCAGCACCCCTAGATGGGAATAAATAAAGGATGAGGCAAATTCATCTATTGAGAGTAAAGGTGGAAGAGGAGTTTTAAGAGATTTGAACACAGKCAATCTGATATGAAACATTCATCTCAATACTAACTTAACACATTTCAAATATTCTTATCTCAACTCCAAAGGCAGCATCTGTTTTGTTTTGTTTCATTTTGTTTTTGGAGTTGGTTTTTGGTTTGATTTGGTTTTGGTGTGTGTTTGTTGGGTTTGGAGGGTATCTTTTGTTGCTGTTTTGTTTTGCAGTACTGAGGATTGAACCTGGGTAACTCTACCACTGAGTTATATCCCCAGTCCTTTTAATTTTGAGACAAGGTCTTTCTAAGTCACTGAGGCTGACCTCCAACTTGTGAACCTCCTGCCTCAGCTTCCTGGAGTTGCTATGATTACAGACATGCAACACCACACCTGGCTTACATTATTATTAATGGGCTTACTAGTCAAGGTCCAATCACCCAGAGACCACTCTTAYGGCTTCAAACATAAGAAATATAATGTAGCCAAACATAGTGATGCACACCCGTAATTGCAGGTACTTGGAAACCTAAAAATAGTGAGAATCACAAGTCAGAGGCCACCTTGGGTAACTTAATATGACTCTGTAGCAAAATAAAATGAAAAAGGGTGAAGGTGTAGTCCAGTAGTAGAGCGCTCGCGTAGCATGCATGGGGTGCTGGGTTCGATCCTCAGCACCACATAAATGTAAAATAAAGATACTGTGTCCACCTAAAACTAAAAAGTAAATAAATTTTTAAAAAGTTGGGTAAGAGGCTTGAAAAATACAGATAAACGACTACCTATGAGAAATTATTAGAGACATTCCCATTAATTTCAGGAAGAAAAGGACTTTAGTGTCCATCTCACTATTTGATATTGTTGACCTTAAGCAAGAGAAAAACAAAATTGAAAAGAAGTAAAATTATCATTGTTTCCACATATCATTTTGTACCTGGGAAACCCAAAAAATGAAGAACAGTCCCTCTTTTATAATAATAAAAAGGTAAAATAACTAAGAATACACTTTCAGACTGTTAGATAGCTGCATGAACCTATCTTTACAATGCTTCTTTGGGGCCATATCAGTGGCACACACCTGTAATCCTAAGCTACTCAGAAGACTAAGGCAGGAGGATTGCCAGGACAATTTGGTGACACTCTATTTCAAAATTAAAAATAAAAAAGTCTGGGGATGTAGCTTAATACCCAGTTCAATCCCCAGCAC